TTTAGTCTAGCCTCGAACAGATTAAAACTGTCGGAAGACTACCTTTACGTTTAATTTTTTCTTTCCGGTTTGGTCTCGTATAATTCGGAGGTTTTTTTTTTTTTTTTTTTTTTTTTTTTTTTTTTTTTTTTTTGCTTAACTACTTGTGAAACACCAGTCACAAATCTAAATTTTGAATTTTTGGCACTACAGCCTCTTTTCTCGTGATGAGCGGTAACAAATGCTGTTGGCTTTTAAGTTCCGTTACTGATTGCCTGCTTTTCCCCCTATTTTCGAACTAATTTATAAAGCTTTGAACAACTTGGTAGTTAGTGGGTTGGTTAGTTGCCACCGCATGGTCGGTCAGTGTTAGTACCTTTATGGTAGGTACGCAAGTTCGTGTTTTGGTCCAGTGCTAAGATCCGAAGATTTAATTCTGACCGTGCCGCGCCACCGTGAAAATAGCCCACTTTGCGTAATAACGGAGGCATCCTGAGAGAACTTGATGAGTTTTTTTCTTTCTCCGGAAACTCCGCACGCAACTACGATCTGGAAATCGAGTAGTTACTGTTTTCGTAACTCTGCGTTTGGACCTTAGCTAATAACTAGTAGCGAGGAGGACGAGCTTTCATAGACGGTTAGGATGAGGCTAAGGGGGCTCTTGCAGGGACTGCACCCTTCTCGTGTTGAGCGGTTAATTGCGAATGGGGGAGGGGGGGAGCATCTTTCAGAGGGAACAGCCCCCCTCCCCCCCCAGGTAAGTCTATGAAAGCTCACCTTCTTTGCTACTAGTAGTCCTCCTTAGACTTTTCTACTGGAAAGATCTCGTCTGCCCTGTGCGCTCGTATGTTTGGGAACAAACGTTATTTGAATGTATTCATTCATGCTATAAGGAACTATGTTGCCCGCAAAACCCCGTGCACATAGTTCTTTTTAACATTACTACGTCCATTTGAATATTGATCGTGTTGAATAACACGCGGTCCACGAGGACACGTGTCACGAGTCTGGCCCACGATTCACGTGAAAGGTCAAGCGTGAGCAATCGCTCATTTTGTGGATTTGCTTTATGTTCTCACCATTATGACGATTGCGCATACAACCAAACGTATTTCCTTTTTTTCATCTGATGGTGCATACACTAAAAATGTCATTCTCTTACCTCATATGTATATCGTTTATCGAAATTGCACGGAATACGACGTGGAAGTGACATGCGAATAGATCAGTTTCTCTTTTTTAAAGTTTTAAATAATTCAGCATGGAACTTTTATCTGAACGCGAGAGACTGCTCAACTTTCTGATAAAATCGTGCATATTAAATGATCTTAGGTTATCATTTTATTTCACCACTCTGTCGTTTTTTCGGTAATCGCTTGATAAGGTTATGCCACGACCCTAAGATTGCTGGGCCCATACTTCAAAAGAGGGTTTCCCATCTGCTTTCACTTACTCTCCCGCAGTTTGTATTATTCTTCTTAACTTTTTGTCAGTCGCATGCTGCCTAGAGATGAAACGTGACCGCAGGGTGGAAAAGTACCCTAGTCTCACATGATAAAGAAGTACCAAAAGGTCCAGAACTCAGAGTAAGTACGCGGCGCGAATAGTTGCATCCAGGCGTAAGATGCGAGTATCTTTTGAGCTTCAGTTTTGATATCGTGCTGTGCTGAGCATGATATTCAGAGACACTATTCGTGCCTAAGGAAATGTCTTCAGAGTATAAATGAAGAATTGAAAGCACTGTTTCATTCAAGATTTCATTTCAAGATCCCCACAGTAAAGCCCGCCGCACACTGAAACGAGTCGTTCAAAGCGGTTGGTCAGGAAATTTTCGATTGAAAAAAATTTTGTTGTTTATTTCTTCACATCGTAAATCGTATTAGGTGAAGGAATTTTCAAGAGAAAATCAATGAAATCACCTCTGAAACCTCTGCGTTCCGTATTAATATCATCATTATGAGCTTTTAATGTTGCCACACTTTATCGGACTCCTCTTATTGACTGGCTCCACTGAGCACCGCTAGTGAGGCGGTCGGAAAGTCAAAAGGCCGTCATTTTCGTGCGTATGCAACAAGGACATCCATGGAGCCCGAATAGTTGCATGCAGGCGTCACAATGAAATTCGTTTAGTATCCGTTGTTGCACTGACTGAAGGTTTGATTGTCCCTCTCATACCTTCATCACAACTTCAATACCAGTGTTGCCTATTTAGCCTAAAAAGCTACCATTACTGATATTTTATTGCGATATTGTCAGTTTTTGGAGCAATGCATAATTTAAATATATTTAAACGTTGCCTGCCCCCGAAATCGCAAAGAATTAATCATCAGAGCATGATATGCAGTGTCCTTTGTTTTGATATTTTTTTTTTCATTCGGTAAAACTAATTTTGCCGTGTAACTTCGAAATGTGCAAAGAACATTCTTGCAGTGGCGTGGCGTGAATTGCGATGAATCGATTGTTATGCCATTTAAACCTATGGTAAAGAATCGATTATTAAGGTGTTCGCTGCGAACACCCTGTTTATCGATCCTTTTCCATAGTTTTAAATGGCATCACAATCGATGTATCACAATTCACGCCACGCCACTGCATTCTTGATGAATCAGTTTGGAACAAAACGATGACCATTCGTCTTTCGAAAAAAATGAAATGTGACAGGATAAATCTGGAACATCACAAGTCTTTCAAGGGTTTGAGATGAAATTCTATTGAACTCAAAACGAGCTTTGCTTGACATTATTAATCTTTATTCTTTATTTGAAATCCGAGTGCGGACCCAGATTCGCCTTCAATCTATCAAGTAGGCAGAAACACTCTCACTGTCCGTCGGTTCGTCTCCTCACCGCGGGCATGAATGAACCCTCTCTTCGTCTGAAGGTCGCAGGAGGCAAGACGTTGCAACGTTTACTACCATTACCGTAGGTAACGGTCAGAGGTAACTGTACCGTGCGTGGGCAAGATTATTCTCGATTTTCAACTTGCGTATGGTNGGGGGGGGGGGGGGGGGCTGCCCACTTGCTCAAGTTTTGAATTGGACGGCGCTTTGCGCAGGTCAAGCGGAGCGGCGCAGAGTCAGATTTCCTCTCGAGTGTCAAGTTCAGCACAGCTTTTGCTTTCGAACGTGATTGCTTAGCTCGGCAATTTTTCCTAATTGAATTTTAAAGAATACTTTCAGTTTTAAGTGTTAAATTATTCCTCATCAGCCGTGAAATCGGAAATTGCGAACATTCGGAACTGCAACGTTCGGTCTGGTTTCGTTTATTGACCTTTTTACCTAGTTATTCACTTTCTTTCGAGAACTTTCTCTGCCTTGAGCAACGAACAATGACATTCGTAACATCTGATCTCTTTATTCGATAGTATAATTCTTCCACCTGAAAGGTGACAAGTCGTTACTGTGCTTTTTACAGTTGCGCGGTCATTCCCCTTAATCACGTGTGCGACCCTTTGCCGAAGCCGAGGGCTGAAGGGGCATTTGATTTGTTTTGGCTCCGTTCCGTTATCGACAGTTGAGTGAGGTCAATTCGCTTGTTCGCGGCCACATTTTTTCGGACCTAACTATTTGTGGGGTTTTCGTTTTGTGCGAATCTCGATCTTTGCACTGTCACGCTTCCATCTCATCAGAGTCTGATGAATTGTTGCCTTACGTTTTCTCAGTCTTGAAATTATTTTTTGCTGGGGTAGTTATCGGCGAATTTCGGCTCGGGGAGCCCTTTGTTGAGTCTTGGTTGAGTCCCCAACAAGACGCAAAGTTTGTCCTCCCTCTGGAAATGAATTGTGTGAACGGATTTCGGAGAAAAATGTTGACTGAAGAATCTCAAGATTCATTGCGTAAGTTACTCGTTTCTAAGAAATTGCATATTGTTTATGTACTTAGTCAGGTTCGGGTGATAAGAGTACTTTGTTGTTGTTGTTATCGGCCTTTGAGGTTATGTTGTCGTGTGAAATTCAGGAAATTTGGTGTAGAACGAAACAAGATCATCCTAACAATTCTTAATCAATTATTTCTTACCATTAGGTTGAATTTTCCATGCTTTCGAAATTGGTCGAATTATCTCGGAGCATCCGATCACAATCCCTTAAATTCCTTCATGTCAAAATTGTAGTTGTTGATATGAAACTGCTGAGCGTGTCAAGATTACCTATCTGATTTTGATGTGTCTCCTCATTATTTTATTTTTTTGGTGCACTCTCTGACATACTTTGTGCCCAATACTGTACCTACGCACCTTAGGAAAGTCTTGTTAATTTGATTGATGGCAATTTGCTCATTAAATGGTAGTGCACTTTGATTAGGTATCATTATTTTCATAGGTACTACACATTAGTCAAATGTCGATGGTTCAATAAAGTTTGGACATAGGAATCTGTATAGTCATGTGTAGCGAATATTCTTAAGAACTTTTAACTCAATGGAAATTTAGGTTCAATGAAACGCAATGGAGCATCGGAGGTAAATTTCATGCTGCGGCATGGCCTTTTTGTTTATATCTTCTCTGAATGAGTTTTGGCCCAGATGTATGCCTTCAATTTCTCACACAAACGATAATCCACCCAGCTGTATGGATCAAATTTTTGTAGACGGGAAAAATTCTTGTAAAACGAAACATCCAACTTCTTCAAACATTATTTACACAGAAATTAATGAACTTCATGACAAATGGCAGTCTATGCACAAACCAAACTTTTTCAAGTTGAAAAGCTGGTACTCAGATGTTAGGAATCAATGCGGCAAGCTTTCCAACAGCGAGTTCCGGCCTTTGAAGTCTAGAATTGAAAAAAGTTGGTCTTGGAGAAACTTCCTGAAACATCTGCATAGGCAAAGTTTTCTGCACCATTTCAGCACATACCTAGTAGTAACATTTTTTGTCTGATTATGACTGTTGACCGTTGTTCAATTTTTATCATATTTTGTTCCATGAAACAGTGTCAGACCGTTTCACCCGTCATGAACTTCAGTATTCTGGTTTTCTCAAAGGCCTGCAGTACTTAATTGATTGTTCACTTATTTTTTTCAGGTGGAGGCTCTCAGCTGTTGCGGAACAGCAAATCAGATACGTCTCTAATATTTGGTGAGAAGCCATACCGTGTGTTCGAAGTTGCCCTTGCTGAAACAATCGGGACAGGAATGCTCATGTTTTTTGGCTGCATGGGGCTTGTCTCAGGGTTTGCTGGTAAGCAGTTGCCATCCATGCAAGGAGGTCTCATCTTTGGTTTTGTCGTCTCAACTATCATCTGTGTGAGTAATATGTGTACTTATTTTTTTAAGTAAATACATTGCCATAAATAAAGCAGTAAAACTAGGAAAATTGAGCAGTCATTTAGAATTTATTTTAAAAGATGCAGAGCTTGACCAGTTCTCAGCCCAAGTCATGGCCAAAAGAAAAAGGGAAGAAATTTGCTATGTTTGATCTACCTATTCCCCATTCAACTTGGTGAAGAACAGCATCTTATAGTTGCTTCACTTCAACCACTACTTACCACATAAAAAATCATAGTTCGTGGATAGCATGAATCAAGTCAGTGCTCACTCACTATCAGTTAACTTAAATCCGACTCCAATTTGGTCCAAGTATATTTATACCAGCTGGGTCAGCTGGCTCAAAACCAGCTGCCTGTTGGATAAAAAACACAGTATATTCTTTTTCCCCCTGAGATTTTTATATTAATAGTAAAACTAAGCATGAGAGACTCGAGTGGAAGCCATAAGCGAGGCAAAAATTTTTAAGAAAAAAAAGAGAGGAAAAAAAGAGAAAAAAACTTAGTGCGTTTTGGTCCATTTTTCTTAAAATCCATGCCCTCCTCCGAAAGATTTTATTCTTAAAGTTTAAGGTTCCTCCTTGAATCCTACAATGTGGAGGAAGAGAAGAAAAGAAATAAGAAAATAAAAACTGTGCACCTAGCTGCAAGACTAGTTTACATGTGTGTGTGTAAGCAGCCTATTTTATCTTTATCAATGTTTCCCATTTGGCAATTTTGCACCTAAGCCAAAGGAACCCTCAATAGTTAGAGCATAAAATTCATGAGGTTTGCACTTTAATTTTTATTTTGGCTGATAAATGATATTCTAAGTCAAGCTTCGCAATTTAGTAAAGGGTCAGTAGAGTCTTAAGTACCTAGCCATTTGAAGGTATTTTGCTTTACTTACTGAATGAAGAACATTGAAGTATTTTTGTTCGGACTATTTTACAACTGTACTTTTCCCAATTGATACTCTAAGATTTTTGCAAGTAATGCATTAGTGACAGAAACACAGATACAAATTTGTTTGACAAACACAGATAAAAGTAAATGTCAACATTCACAAATCCAACTAAATTTATAGCCCTTCTAAGCTTGGTGTCAACACCTCCATATTTAAATTTCAACAAATTACTTTGTAGCAAATTATAATTTGTACTGTTTTTGTTTTTCAGATATTTGGACACATTAGCACAGCTCACTTGAATCCAGCTGTTACTGCAGCATCAGTTGTACTTGGGAACACTACTCCTTTTATGGCAGTTGTCTATTTACTGAGTGAATGCATCGGAGCTTGTCTGGGTTTTGGTCTGTTGAAGGTAATTATAAAAAATGCATCACTTATGATAGAATATCAAACCCTTTGTTGAGAAAGAGTCTTCAAGCCAGTTGGCAGTACCCAGATGGAAAGTTTTGAAAAAAAAAATTCACAAGTATTGGAAAAAAGAGTGATGTATATTTTATATTTGTAGCTTCTCATCATGAACATGCATAATTCACAGTATGCCATATGAAATTAAAAGCATACTTTTCTGTGTGTTAGAATCCAAGCAAGTAGAAAACAGTCAACAAGAGTTTGAATAAATATCCTTGTAAGTCTTGACAGAAATGAAGATTTTTTAATCACACTTTGACCTATGAGACAAAAACTTACAATGTTTATATCCTTTTTTAGTGCTGGTTTTCGTTATTTACCCTGTAAGTAACTGATATTTTTCCTAAGGAGGTAAGATAGTCACAAATAATGTTCTAAAAAAATTCTCTGATTTTTGAAGAATCTGTGTAAGGATTCTTCACCATTTTCATGCTTTGCAATAATAATAAAGTCTCATCAGTAATACAAAGAAAATACTTGTCTACTCCTATCTCTAAAGCTATACATTTATTTTTTCTCAGTTCATCACTCCAAGTGACATTTTTGATTTTGGTGTGGACCCTGCTGTTGGTTTGTGCTCAACGGTCCCTCATCCATCTCTGACTCATTCGTGGCAGGCGTTCATGGGAGAATTCCTGGCTACCAGTTTCCTAATTTTCCTGGTTTGTAGTGTTTGGGATGCACGAAATGCTGACAAATCGGACTCTGTGGCACTCAAATTTGCTCTCACCATCGCTGCAATTTCCATAGCTGAAGTAAGTTACTCTCTCCATTAACCATAATATAAATATATTGAAAATTACTTAATCTGATTTTCTTTTCTGAACCCTGCTTTATTCTTTGAGCCAGTTTTTATTTAATCACAATGGGTCTATTGCACGCAAAAGATGCCACCAACTGAATACACTTTACACCTAACCTAATTAAACAAACAATGTTGCAAACTGTTCTAAACTCTCCTTGCTTAAGATTTCAATTAATTCAAAGCTTTGGCTTTTGCAAAATAAAGGAAGAAAAAGGAAAGAAATGCTTGAAAACGATGGAAATCATACAATAGAAAAAGTTAGTAAAATCGTTTGTTTACTCGGGTTATTTTGTACTCCTTTGCATGTGCAAACCTGGTTAGCGGTGACGAAGAAAAACTGCCCACAGACGCAAGAAACTTGAAAACTTGTGTTATAGACAGTAAATTTTGAGGATATATTTCTTCGTTTTGCATGTACCGGGTACCCACCAATTTTGTTACTCTTTGCTGCATAGTTACTCAGGTGGGGGCTGGGTTGAGATTTTGACAAGAGGAGATTACAGGACCGTTTTTGCTTACTGATTCAATTTTTTTTATTTCTAAGTCTTGAAACTTGTAGGAAAAGTTGGTTCCTGTAAGAAAATCTGTAATTTAAAAAGAAGACGAACAATTGAATTTGCCTCTTCCTTCCCTCTTCTTAAAGTGACATTTTCGGACTTGAATCAATGAATGACACAGCTCAACACTTCAAATGGGACAACTGTAATTTTAAATTAAAATCCCAAAATCTGTATTCCAAACTGATACAGGGAGTTGCTCTTTGTCGAAAACAGGTTTCAATGGGTTTGCTTTAGTGCAGGATAGTGATATTTTTTTTGGAACAAATTTTATTTATAAATAACATAAGTATTCTAAGAATATGTCTTGAATCTATCTTCATGAATTAAATTAAATTAATTGAAAATAAAAAGTAAATAACACGACTAATAATACGATCATCTAAGAGAACAAGAATTTTCAAATTCCTTTTTTTTTTTTTTTTTTTTTTTTTTTTTTTTTTCTTTTTTTTTCTTTTTTTTTAAATTGAAAAGATTAAGTTTACTAGTTAACTTACTTAGAACATTCTTCCTTTCATTAGTGAAATTAGCGTATGAAAGGAATGACTGAACTTTAATTTACATCCGTCAGTTGATACATGCAGTGCAATCTACCCTGCCTTGTAATCTACCCTACAAGTCCTGCAAGTCAGAACGGAAAATTATAAGAAATTATAATATGACCTGAATAGGAAATTTTACAGTCAGTGAAAGATTTTGGAAAGGAAGGTAATGTTTGGAAAAATACAAAGGATAAGGGCGTAAAGAATTGTGTATATTAATCTATATTTTCCAATATGTGCTAAAGCATTGGGTACTTAGCAATTGACCTCTCCAATACGTTCAATTCCATTATTTAATTAATTTGTTTTTTTTATTATTATTATTTCTAGGGTCCCTACACCGGAGCAAGTATGAACCCTGCCAGAACTCTTGCCCCGGCCATTTTTAACAACGTTTGGACAATGCATTGGGTAAGTAGTCTCTCTAAAATTCATTTTGTTCGTGACAGGATTGTTTATCATGGACTTGTAAAACATATCAGAACCAAGAATGAAACCAAAAGGCTCAGAACCAGATTTTTCTTCACTAGGTACCAGGGACTTCTGAGGAATTACTTGTTCAATGTTATTGCATCTAGATTATGTTAAAATTCTGTCTCTCAAAGTCAGTGGCGTGGCGTCCATAGGTTCGCAGTGTTCGCCGAACACCCTAAAATATTTTGAGACAATTGATAAATTATGGCTAACAATGTGGGAAACAATACAGAATAGTAGACCGCAAATAATTATCGGGAGATTTTCTTCCGACGGCGATATGCGGCGTGGCGGAGAGAAAGAATCCTGAGACGCGGGGTCCGCGAGGGGCCACCGATCCTGGATGAGAGTGAGAGGGGAACGGGCGGGGCGAGCTGCCCACTTCGGTGAGAAGAGAGAACCTCGGTGCAATGATGAAGAAGGGTCGGTAGACGAGAGAGCGGGAGGCACCGGCGCGGAGGACAGAGCGGAGCGGGAGCATTGAGTTCGGCCGACAAGTGCGGACCGCGCTCGCGAAGTGAAAATAGCAGAGAGAAAAGGGAACAGGGAGAGAACGAGAGACGAGAGTCGCTCATCAGTCCAGCTGTTTCCTTTGCCAGTGGTCCGCAGGTCCCTGCGAATGGCCGAATTTCCCCTCTGCCAATTCGTCCTACGCTTCTCTTCTTCGCTTGCGGGCAGCGCGCGGGCCGCATCTCTCAGTTCCACATTCCTCAGTCTCCCGTACTTATTCTCAAAGGTGCGTGTTGTGCAATTCAACGTGATCTTCTCCCCTTTCAAGAAGCTGGAATTATGGTTTCAGAAGAATACTGAATAAATAATAAATACTTTTTGAAAATTTTAATTATAATAAAAACTTTTTCAACAATTTTTTTTCATTCATTTAATCAAAAAATAAATCAAATATTCCTTAAAAAAATAAAAAAAGCTATAAAAAAATTTAAAAAATAAAACAAAAATGAAAAAAAACAAAAAAAAAGGAAAAAAAAAACAAAAAAAAAACAAGCGGGAAAGTTCTAATACTGTCGTATTCGAGAAGTGCTCGGCTTTTTTCTGTGTCGTTTTTCGGCGCGTTTTTAAGTTTCCTATGCAGGAGATGAGCACCGTCGAGGTGAAAGAACTCTCTCACCAAAATTACAGCTATAAATTTGGGGGAAACTAAAATTCACTAAAATAAATAAATTACAGGAAAACGATCAGTGAAAAAAAAAATAAAATAAAACGTCAATTTATTGCCACAATTTTCACCAAAAAGGATGAAAATTGTGTTCCACCAGAAAGGATGAAAATTGTGTTCTTGCGGCTTCATTTTTTAAAAAATTTTCCGGGGGAGGTCCCCCGGACCCCCCTTTCATGGAGGGGGGGGTAAACCCCCCCTGACCCCCCCTTAGGTGGTTGACACTCCTACCGAACACCTATCGGATAAAGTCACGCCACGCCACTGCTCAAAGTTCCTTGTCATTTCAGGGTTTTGCAGCGAGTCAACATTTTTGTTTGGATTAATTATTTATTTATTTGGAATATCTTAAGTAAGCCATAATCCAGTATTCTTGGATGCATGTATTTATGCTAAGAGGAACTCTGTAAAAATGAACTGAATCAAGTGTAACTATGTGCACAAGATTTGAACTCTTTGTGGTTTTTCTTTTTTATTTAATTTATTTTCTTGTAGCTTCTTTTAGCATGAATACATTCATTTTGATTATTTATCTTTGAATTATTTGCAATGTGACATTTGGTTGGATCTAAATCCAAAGGAACTATCTTAATTGAATCGGCTTGTGGAAAAACATCCGTTGTCCAATACAGGGTTTCATAATTGCAGTGGCCTCCTTTGCCCCATGGCACTGATGAATAAGATCAATCTCTTCAGTAAACGTTTAATTATACTTAGGGGATTTTTTATAAAATTGTTCTACATTCCTAACATCTCAAATCATCTTGTGTCTGTAAGTTACAACGAAATTATCCTTTCAAATCCTGTTACACTGTATTGGACAGCGGACGTTTTCGCATGAGCCGATTCAATTGTAACCTGATGAGTTTACGTATGAACGGGCCTGTGTCATAATGGAGCTAAGGAGGTAGTTCCTTTTGATTCAATTACGTCCACCCAAAAACAGAGACATTTTAAGTTATGAAGGTCAAATAATAGTACCTATAGTATTTATTTTTGAGAAATATTCTGTATTCTGTCTCATTGTAAACAAATAATGCTTAAACTTTGAGATGTGACACGAAATAAATTACAAAATATAAAAGATAGTATGAGGTAAATACTCTCAAGGCCAGATTTTTGGGGAAAAAATTTCAAAAAAAAAACAAAAAAAAAACCTAGTTTCCTGATCAAACAACCATTGAAAACCGCATGAATTAAGATTTGTTTCTGTTGTTTCTTCTCTTTTCATAACTACGAATGAAGACCTCCATACAGAAATGATAACATATCCCTTCTTGGATGTTATGAAGTCTGCCTGTGTCTTCTTCTCAATTTTTTTTTTTTTTTTTTTTTTTTTTTTTTTTTTTTTTTTTTTTTTTTTTTTTTTTNTTTTTTTTTTTTTGCATTTCATCTACATCTTACCAGATGCCCCTTATTCTTGTCAGATTGTAACTTTGCTGATATCTTTTTCCAGGTTTACTGGGTCGCTCCGATCAGCTCAGGTATCATAACTGCCTTTATCTACAAACACATTTTCAACCGTAAAAGACGAACATCCATGGATGAACCTATTCAAAGCATCGATGACATCAATGCCGAGGTCCCGCTCACCGGTGTGATTTCTTCAAAACACCCCTCCATCGAGAAAATTCAAGATTCACCACTGACCAAAAGAAAAGCAAACAACTCATAAGAACCATCAAGGGCTTTAAAATTGTCTGGGACAGTTTAAAAATTGTTCAAAATGATACTGTTGTGAATGGTTAGTGAGTCTCTCAGCAGGGTGTTCAACCACCAGAAATCAAGAAGCGAACAGATAGCTCTATTATGGTACTGAGCATCCCAGTAAAACTGCTCAAGCTTTCAAAATGAGGATATTCATCTTATCTGTGATTATTTCAAGTGTAACTGTGCAACACTGGGGTGTCTACAGGATCCAGAAGAAATATTAAGAGAATTATGTGCTCAACTCATAGGGAAATGAGGTGATTGTCATGAAATGAGTAGAATTTTCCTATCTGTTTGACTCAAGAGCTGATCTCTTTGGAGCAGAACTCATGTAGACATTTAACATGAGCGGTAGCTGTTTTTAAATACATGACAACGATTGTACAGAAAAGATTCAAATGCGAGGTTTTTTCTCAATGTCATGCATGAGTTATATTGTAACGGATCTGCCAGTATGTATATGACGTTTAATTCCAACCTATTGAATTTGACCTTAAAAACAAGTTTCTTGAGTCATTCAAAGCTTTTGAGCCATTACCTGTCGAAGTTTTTGTCTGAAACCACGGGAACTTGTGTTCATTCTGCTGGAAGGCTTTCTCACAGATAAACTGCCACTGTTCAAGTTTGTCAGGATTTTGCGTCCGATCTATGAGCCAATACTAGTCTTCCGTTACTGTGGTGGCTTCGAATCAAATCTGAACTATTTTCGTCTTGGATGAATTTGGAGTTCGGAGTGGTTCATAAGCTTTTTTAACGTCTGTACGTGAAGTTGGTTCTGCATTTTTGTGATATATTTTTAAATCTAAGTGTGCTTAGAGACGTTTCAATTCTTCTGTTTTAATAACTTTTTTTTACGCTGTCTACTATCAAAACTTACTCATAGGTTTATCTTTTATATCTTAACTAAGTTGACTTACTTTTAATCATGGACTGATCCTTTCAAGGAATTTCAATTTTGACAGGCTTTTGAGGTACCTCCCCAACAGACTTTTACTCTCCCTCGACAATTTGTAATCGATCCTTAACTTCAGGAATTTTCTCACATCAGTCATATGTATCCTTTTTTTTACTTTCTGATGGACAGGTATACTCAAAAATTTGTCAAATGCAATTAATGTAGCCCCTTATTTTTGCACAGATAATGTATTCTACAATTTCTAGGGCTCATTTTTTATATAGGGAATAGTTTTTATAAAATACTCGTAGATTGTAGAAGTCTTCTTCTCCAGAAGTGTAAATCAATTTTAAAATTCTTTTCAGGTCCGTCCCGTCTTTCTGCTCTCCATTTTTACTTATCCATTTACCTACAGATATTTTTGGGACAAAAACTTCCATTTTTAAACTTTGATTAAATTTTTTGAACGCTGCTAAAGCTATCATCCTTCTTATTCCCATTGGTTTCTCTTTTCTTCTTCTTTTTACTCTCTTTTAAATTTTCATGATTATTTGTTGGAGAGCCTCTTTCAACTAAGGTGTATTTCCTGTCTTTGTTTTGCATCTATTCAAAATCACTATTTTTAACAAGAGCATTATCTGTGGATGAATTTGGAGGTCCTATCCACAGTATTTTCAATATTTTCATTTTCAGTTTAAATTGAATATTCTCCTGAAGACCAAAAGAAATAAAAAAAAAATTGCTAATTCTAAACAAGAATGTCAATCTGAAGTATTTCACACTTTCAAATATCAATCTTGTCACCCATGTATCTAGTTATACTTGAAATTTGCCTCATACTTCAAACAATTGGGAGCTGTCAACACTTTTCATCCGTGAACGTTGGTCCAGCAGGTGCAATTGTCCTCTGTCAAAAAAAGGTTCACCAATCGCATTTGCTTTCATCTGATATTACATTTCAAGGATTTCTAACTGCAAATATTAATTACTTTCATGGGCCTGAAACTTTTCAAGCAGTTATACTGAGCTGCTCAATGAAGAAGAGTATATTACCTGATGAATTCTTGCTGGGTTTAAAATATCTAATAACAGTTGAATGAAGTGTCTGAGAGTATTAAAAGAACTACGCATTTGGAAATAAAATCCCAATCGTAATCATCTGTAGATTTTGATTTGATTGCTTATTATCCATGACATTAACAAGAAAATCATATGTAGGTATAGCAAATGATTAAGCACTAAGCTAAAAAGAGCAGAAAGTGTACTTCAGATCCTTGATTATCAAGTTTTGTATCAATTTGAAATAATGTGATACAACTGAATCATTATTTATTCCCCCAAAACAAGATTACTATTGCTATCTGCTTATGTTAAGTGTTTAAAGTTGAAGAGGAGAAATACTTGGAAATATTTTGATGTTCACAGCACATTGATAAATTTTCTGTTCAAAATTCAATGTTTTTCTATCAAGCTTTATCTTAGTGTTTGAAGTATTGATATTCGTTAAAAGTAATCGTTCTTGCTCTCTAGAATTTTAAAGCTTAAAGTATGATGATGTATTTATTTCTCTATTACCATTTGGCACTTTCACCTTCATCTACATCCCTCTCCAACTTGTAAAATTGTAATTTAGTAAGAAATAGAATGGTAAGCAAGGAAGAATTAAAATATTTTATTTCATCTTTAAGTGGTTTATCAATAAAAACTCCGTGTCCATCTTTTGCTCTTCTAATCAACAACCATTTCCTTCTGGCATCTCTCCTTCAGAATCTACTCTATTTTAAAAGAGCTCTCCTCTAGTATTTAACTCTAAATGTAAGATAAAATATTGCTCTGGGCTGTTATATGTTTAGCTACTCATCTATATTTGTCCCGATCCTCCAGATTCATGTATTTTGTTAAAATAATTTTAAAATCCATGCATGCGCTAAACTCTTTTCAATTAATATCGGTTATATTTTCCATCTAGCTGTTGAAATTTTATTCGTATTATAAAGAAGCACGTGAGTAAGTACTGTCTGTAAATCATACTCAAAATGCAGTACATTATTTCTTGACATGCTAGAAGACGTATGTTGTATATTTAATTCAAGTTTAAAACTAACCTCCACAGTTTGCTAAATTCAAAATTTTATTCAAGACTTCGCTTGAAGAAATTAATCTTCTCCCCTTTTTTCTCATTATACGCAGAAGATGTAATTTTAAGCACAACGCATTTAAAAATTTGATTTAGGCATATTGAATCTAGTGATTTAAGTTTTGCTCAAATTGTATCACTGTATCATCTCCTTAGTTAATAAGTTTTTAACTCAGTCAAATCCAAAAAGTTTCTTTCGAAACTTCCTTGAAAAGGGGAAAATTTTCCAATTCATCTTTAAAAAAATGTCTACCTTTAGAAACCAATGCAAATTCTTTTGTATTGATTTTTTTGCGAAGCGCTTATCATTTGTTGCTTTTAAATAGTTTACTGGAGACTGATGCATTATCTTTTGAAGAAAATAAAAGAGAATAAAAATCGGTATTGAGAAAGTTCATTTAGTTATGCTTCTACTGAAATATCTTCATTGTTAAATCAAAAATTTTTTTTAAAAACATTAGTTGCAATTAAATTTGTTTTCAATTTAGAACTGCCCAGGTACATACTTTGATAATATTATTAATATTCATACATAACTCTCTCTTCTAGTTTTCACTCCTTGTAAAGAAGTATGTGAAGCGCTGTTGGGACACATTTTTTCATCCAAGCATTTTTGAACTTTGATTGATAATGCACCAGTTTCACATAATTTTAATCCATTAACATGTAATATTCTGTAAAAATATATGTAAAAATGTCGAATTTCTTCTTCGTTTTCTCAGCAACATTTTTAAATACAGTCATTACAATAATTCATTCAATTAATCATTATGAAAATCTATCTTTTTTCATGTTTAAAAGACATTTCTTCTAGTTGTACTCGCAGGTTTAATTTTGTTACTTTGATTGTTTATACCTATGTGAAATTTTGCATCGAACTCACGTGAAATACATTTTAATAGTAAAAGTCGAATATTTTTTCTATACCTTTTTCTTTCATCGAACCATTTTTTGGTCTATTTGAAGGCAGAAAGAAAACATCTTCTTTAAGGGGAGGTTTCTTAAACTGCTTGAACTAGGTAGGTAGGTATACATAATGAGAAACCATTATCAACACTGAAATTCCTTAACGACGAATTTCATTGCGGTGTTTGAAAATATCCGCTTCTGTTCTATTTTTTTTAAAGCAAAACAGATTAACCACCATTCATTGAAATTGCCTTAGAATTATGCCTTCGCTTAAAGGAGAAAATCCTGGAAGTTTTTAAGAATTGACGTTTAGTAGTTATCTCTTCAAGGCTTACCTAAAGTGTAGCAGGAAGTCTGCAATATCACTAACCGAGATACGTTGTTTGGGAGTTCCACAATCGATTTTTGAAAATTAGGGAGTGCATATAGTTAGTTGTGCATTGATGACAGCCACACCTACCATAAATCGTGGCTGAGGAGTTTTGCGGTAGAGTGAGCACACCCAACAGGATGGATGATTTTGGACTTCATTTTAGAATTCTCGACAATGTGCGTGTGAATAAGAGCTCAACACACGCAACTTTAAACTCGTTTTTGTGATTTAATATACTTCCCTAGTAGCAGTGGCTCTTAAAAAAAACTCTACGAAAAGTTGTCTCCAAAAATGTAATGTAAAAAACTTGTAAATTTTAAGTAAAAAAAACTCTTAAAATATTCGTTTTAGAAAACCCCTTTGGGGAATTCCTTTAAATAAAAAAGAGTGATTAGAATTCTTTTAAATAAAACAATAGAGCCATTTAAATTAAAAGAAAACGTAATATTTACGTGAAAAACAACAAACTATGTCCTCAATTTTATGGGCTGCAACTTTTCCTATTATACTTTTCTGTTCACCACTTTTTCCCCCACGTTTTTGCCCGCAGGAAGTTTATAAAAAAAAATTACTTAAAATTTTTCTTCATGATACGAACATTTCAAGAGTTTTTTATGTAATTTTCAAATGGTTTTGAAGTAAATTTTAA